TTTTTTTTTTGGTTTTTTGAGACAGGGTGTCACTATGTAGTTGATACTGACCTGGAACTCACTGTGTAGCCCAGGCTGGTTTTAAACTCACAGTGAGCCTCCTGCCTCAGCCTCCCAAGTGCTGGGATTACAGGCTTGCACCACCACGCCTGGGCTGAAATTTGTATGATTTTAATGAAATTAAATTGAAGTTAAAGCTATTAGCAGCACATAATTCCTTTTAGGCTTATTTTCATATTGCCAAAGAAAGTAACACATTTTATTTTAGTCTGTGGAAAAGCTTGTTATCCCCATTTTACAGGTGTAGGGATTCGAAACAATCTCTTTTTGCTTTATCCAGCTAGACAAACCTTACTGTGTTAGTTGATACAGATGGTTTTTACTTTTTTTACATTTATGTATCTTTCCCAGCCTGGCTACGACACCTAAAACAAACCTTCCACCACTCCTGGCTGTAGGAATTTTGCATGATCTTCAATTGAAGCCAAGCTGCTTTGGCCCTGAAGCATTCTTTTGCGCTCCCCAGTCGACACACCTAGGCACAGTCTCTTGCGTGCCTTTCAAGTCTTGTAGCCCTTTACTTTCCTTTCTAGGATGAGAACTCCTATTGCGCAGGAACCTTATCTTCATAATCTTTGCGACCCCTGACAATCCCAACACAATGCAGTCCACAACATATCTGGGTTTGTTCATTAATAACAAATCCTTTGTCATTCTCTTTTTCTTATTTTGGATGATTTTTGGCCTGATTCGTCTGTTCTGAGAACTTTGAACACAACCACTATATGGAGGTATCAAATGGACTGAGTGTGGTTTTTAGAAGAAATGAGTTGCTTTCCCACAATATTTTTAAGAAACATTTTAAGAGAAGTAGTCCATAAATGACTACAATGATTTTGCTATTATTTTAATTTCAGGTACTTATGAGAAATTTTATATATAATATGCATTTTCCATTATGAATTATTTTAAAATTTCAGTTGATAGTAGAGAGATTAATATTTGTGCAGAACTTATGAAGCAAGCATGTGAAAAGAAATTGCCTGAAGTTTTAGTCTGAAAGATGATGGGTGATTATGACATTAGGCTTGGATAGATTTAAGGCAAACTAAGTAAAAATTAAGAAGAACCACATTATTGACCTCGAGTACCAGGCAATAGTCAGAGCTATGATGGGCACAAACACTTCATCATAAAACAGAAGCAATGTCGATTGGCATTTGTGCTTTGCTAACTTTTGTTTACCACCGAAAAGCACATTTAGAATCACATTTGTTTTTTAGCCATGGTGAAAAACTGCAGGAAACTAGAAATTGCTATGTATCAAGTGAGCAGCTGTTCCTTTTAATTTTTGTTTAGAAAGGCGAGTATTTCATAAGTAAGAACAATAATTACTACTTTGAAATTGAACTTTAGTTTAGTTTTGTTATTTATTTATTTATTTTTACCACATCTAACTGGAGACTGACTGGATGTTCTGTATCCAGGAAAACTCACATTGTAAATGTCCCAAGTATCAAAGGATAACTTCCTGGCAGGTCTCAGATACGTTCAGACAGCAGGGAGAAAAGACCATTCACTAACTCTTGCATGGGAAATTTAGCATTAAATCCCATATCCTTACATTATATAGAATTATGTGATAACAAAAGTATCTTTATCAAAAATAACCTTTTATTCTTTTCCTTGAAGGAACTTGTGGAATATTACAAGCATCATTCTCTTAAAGAAGGGTTCAGAACCTTAGATACCACTCTGCAGTTTCCATACAAGGAGCCAGAACATTCACCTGGACAGAGGGGTAATAGAGCAGGCAACAGCTGTGAGTATTGTAATTGAGAATACGATTTGCTGTCACTTAAGGGTTGGAGGCAAAATAACATTAAACATCTTTATTCCAGGCTTTGAAATATAACCAATTAATATGCTAATGCATTGAACAAGGACTTTTTTTTTTCTGGAGCTAAACAAAATCAGAGGGACCAACAGGTTTATGAACATTTCTAATTGTAGATCTTTGTGCCAAAGTAAAAATTGTGTTTGAATTAAAATATCCATTATAAACATAAAGAATATGTTCATATGTAAAGATTATATTTTCCCTTGGTTTTTAATGTTGGCCAGACTTCTTAATTTATGCATAATGCTTGTGGTCACAGTATTGTTTGAATGATAGTATTTAAGTAAAACTGACTCCCAATCTCCTTTTTAGCCTATTATCACAAGTTTGCTTATGATCCTATTTCAATGACTACTTTCAAAACTTTGAAATGACTAATATATCTTCTGGGATAGCAGTATTTCTAAAATTATACTATAGCTACTTTCTTTCAAAATAAGGGGAAAAACTAGTCACAAAATTTAGCACCCAAACAAAATCACATCATAGTTTAAGTGGAATCCGAGTCAAAATTTTTATTTTTCCTCACTTTTTAATGTTATATAATCTTCCTAGAGCTGTTTATAGCATTTAAAGAGAATATTGTGATGAAAACATGTAAAGAAAGTGTGATTTCATTCCCTTGTTTTGATGTCCTTTTAAAAAAAATCTGTTTTAGAGGAGAAATTAAAATATTTTTATTACTCTTAGAATCTTAAGACTAAGCAAAATTGAAAGATCTAGAGGTATTTGGAAAAAAAAAAGAATTTTCAGCAGTTTAATATAACTTCAACTTTATTTTTCTCCACAAACAGACACCAAAAGGGAAAGGAGTAATGCTCAGGCTTTCAAAAACATCAGTAAAATTTAATATACTCAAATATAAGAAAATATGCAGGATATTTGTCACATCAAATGACAGGTAGTGTTTTACAACTGGAATAGCTTAATATCTGTTTTTGCAGTGATCAGTGACATATGCCCAAGCCTAGGTAGTGAAAGTAGGAACACACTTTATGTTGAAACTTTAAAAACTTAAAATTGTACGGTTTTTTTAGCCTAAAATTACCTAATTCTCTTAGACTCTCAAATAGCCTACTTTTACTCATTCAAAAATGAAAGCTTTTCTTATAAAACAGTTTCCTACAAATTTCTTAAAAGTCTCCCCAAGTTATGACTTCTCCCCGCTGCATGAAGCCTGTAATTTTCAACTGTTTCTTCTTTGTCTTCCCAGGAGTAGGACAAGTTTCCAAAGAGGTCAGTTACACCGAGTCCTGTTCACAATGTTTGATTAGCTCTGGAGTATACAGGGAAAGAAAAAGGGTGGACATCCTATATTACATAGGAAGGCTTTTGATCCTCACATGTACTTCACTGCCTGGTTCTTCTTTGGTGCTTGGCATGTGAGTGCTCAGAGAATGTTGTCCAGTAATGAAATTGCCTAATTTAAAATTTGGTCTCCATGTTTAACTGTTTAATGCTCAGACTTTTTTTTTAGCAACTAGAAAAGATCCACTATTTTTTTAAGCATAGCCAATATAATGATTATGCTAAATACCCATCCTAGCTACAGGCAAAATTTTCATCAGAGTCATGTATTCAAACCTCCCCACTCAATCTTTTTAAAAGACTCTGGAAACTTAACTTGGAACACGATAGCTCTTTTATAATCAAGAAGTGAAAGTAATCCATTCACTTAAAATTTGACAAATACATACTGAAATTTGACTTTGTTCAGCAGGGAGACTCAAGCAAGTCTGGGTTGGAGGAGTTCGACATTTTATATAAAATGATCAGGGAAGATCTCATTTACAGTGTGACCTGAAAAAAACTGAGGGAGTAAGATTGTAGGTCAGTCAGCAATAACTGCACAGTGGTTAACTCTCCCAGACTGTTCACCCATTACCACAAAGCAGAATTGTAACCTCTGATTAAAATCACAGTGCTATCCCAATGATTTACCTTATGTTAAAATTTTTATGATTGGAAAAATATTAAGATGGTCCTAAGAATTAAATGAAGTACCACAGAGAAAGCACTTAGCACAGTGCTTGTACACTGACTGTACCACCCCTACTTCTGCGACTAATGTTACTGATTCCTCTAACAGCATGTACTTCCCTGGATTTCTAAGGCTTGAGTAAATTTACTAATTGAAACTCTTATGGCAATTTGCATCTTGCTTTTATGATTTTTAAAGCATGCATTTCTTATTTTATACCAACTCTTGCTTCAGAATTAATCATTAAAGAAAACATCATTTCTTCTTTTATGCATGTAGTCTCCCGAGGTGGCAGGAGGAAATGCTGCATATTCTATCTAGAAAGATTATGTCTGATGTCTTTATAGCCTTACCTCTGCTTCATAGCTTCGAGTATGCTGCTAAATATCATCTAACAGAGCTTAGACAATTGTTACAAGCGGCATATTTTTACCAGACAGCATTACTCTGTGTTACTGGATTGGACTGAGAGCACTGTCTCTATTACTGTGAAGACTTGAAGCATGAAGAACAGGCCAGGGAAAGCCCGGACCCATCTGTGTTTGGATGCAGGTTGAGAATGGAACTCCAACTTCTTAAACAGGCTATTTATCATTCTTACTATTAATAATATAGTCACCTTGGAAAAGAAAAAGAAAGCCTTGAGGCATTGTAGAGATTGCTTACTTCAGTATTGTCTGGGTTAGACTGTTCTTGGGACAATTACCAACCATTTTGTAATTTTTAAATAAGATGAAATTATAAATCTACACCATGCTCATGAAAGATAAGATATAAAGAGAAATACATTAAAATTGTCCACATTAGTGTGCACAGAACATAGCATTTCTAAGAAATTATTGATCATAAAAGAAAAAATAGCGACATCACCTGTGGTGGAACAAATAGACACCGTGTACTTCCTAACAGAATATTCTGAGGGGGACCCCACCCCACTGTGGTGATAGTCCTGCCCCCAAATGCACAGTTTGAATCTAATCATGAAGAAACATCAGACAAATGGCAACTGAAAGACATCCTAAAAATAATCAGCTTATATTCTTTATAAAAGCCAAGATAATTAAAGTTAAAGAGTGGAACTGTTTGAGATTTTAAAAGACTAAAAGATATGACAGCTACCTATAGTGTGATGCAGGATGGAATTCTGAATGGGGAGCAGGGAGGAGGAGACAGCACACACATACAGTACAAACATATTTTGTATCTCATCGGGCATGTATTTATGTTACTATACAGGACATGAGTGGGGACAATTAGAATATAAGTTCTCTACCTTAAGTGACAGTGCATCAGTGTGATTTTTTGCTTTTAATAGTTTTACAGCAGTTATATAAGAGGAGAAAATGTCTTTGTTTTTAGGAAACACACTGAAGTAATTATCAGTAAAAGGAAGGATTGTATCCACAATTATCCAATGGCTCGGGGGGCGGGGGAAGTGACTTATAAAGAAAACGTGATAAAATGTTAACATTTGGGGAATCTGAATGGAGTATATGGAAATTCCTTGTGCCACTCTCGCTACTCCTAAGTGTGAATTGTTTCAGAATAAAAAGTTTTAAACGTGGAGTTGCTCCCATCTGCTGGCTGAGTCTCAAGAACTGGAGGAAAGTAGCAACATCCTCCTTTTCATCTGCTCCAAATTCGGGTGGACTTGGTCACTGACGTGGGGCGTGAAGAACACAATGTGTGCTGAGATCATATTTAAAGCCTTTTGCTCCTCAGCGTGACCTCCTTGCATTTGCCTTTTCACTCAGTCCTTTATTCAACATCTTCTGTATGCCAGGCCCTGTGCTAGATCCTGGAGTTTTCATAGTGAATATGACAGACCATTGGGTGAGTCGGAACAGACGTTAAACAGATAGACTCATAGATAATCACAGATGTTGATAGGCCTAGTGAAGCCAAAGCACAAGTGCAAGGGTGTGAGAAGAGGGCTCACTTACCTTCTAGGGTCATAGAGAGTCTTTAGGAAGAAATGTGACTCAGGCTAAACTTACAGGATGTACAAAGATGGCAGGGTGTGGGGTGGGGAGCAATAGTGAACTGACACAGTGAAGCAGCTTGTGTGAAGGCTCAGAAACAGGAAAGAACTTCAGGGAATTGAAAGGGGCTCAGTGTACCTGCAGCACAGTGAATAGACTGCGATGTTCGTATTTGTGGCGGGAAAGTACGGAGGCTTTATAAGCAGAAAATGACATGAACTGATTTACAGTGTTAGGAATTACATGCAGATGTCTCTCCAAAGTCTTATACATTCATAGGCGGGGCTTTGGGGAGGTGATTGGACCATGGGGTGCTCATACTCATTAGTGGAATAGACTGATGAGTTTAGAGCTAAATGTCTTGTACGTAGAGCCTGGTTGGAGGAGGTGGGTCACTGGGGTCCGTCTCCCTCCCCAGCTCCTTCTTTCACTCTGCTTCTCAGCAGACAGGAAGTGAGCAGCTTTTCTCCTTTGCCAGGCTTCTGCCGTGACGCTCTGCCCTGGAGCCAGCAGACAGTGAACCACGAGCCAAGATAAACCTCTTCTCCTTTAATTTGTGGGTGTTGGGTATTTTATGTCAGCAACAAGAAAGTGACTAAGACACACTTTTAAGGGATCTCTGACTGCTTTGTGAAGAGAGGATAGAGGGTGAGGGAGGCACAGAAAAGAATGAGTAGGCCCCATCAGTGTCTATCAAAGGTAGTTTGGACAAGAGTTCAGTTGTCACTGTAGAAAAAGACAATGGGAAAATTTGAATATATTCTAGAGGTTGAATTGGTTGGACTAAAGAGCTGAGGTAGAACTGGTGTAAGTGTGATACACAAGTATTTTCCTTGGACAACTGGCAGCTAGTAAAACCACTGACTGACAAACAAGAGAGCAAGAACAGGTGTAAAGGAGAAGGCATTTAGTACTGTACACGTGTTTAGATCCCTACAGATACTCATTGTTTCACTAGA